AATAAAAAAAACAAAATAATGTCTTACCTACAACGAATGTTGGTTTGTTTGCTTATTTTACAGCAAAGCCACATTGGGCTATCCGCTGTGCCCACCGCGGGAGAATCGAACTCCGGATTTTAGCGTTGTAAGTCCATAGACTTACCGCTTTCCCACCGGGAGGCTACGAAAAAAAGTGATTTTATTATTTCTATCTTTCATCTACAAATATACAATGTTTGTTTTTTTTTAGATATTAAGCTAAATTCGTTGGCCATTTTTCAACTAGAAATATTAAACACCAACATGATTTGTTTTTTTTTTTCACTAATCTTTAAAGTCGTTAGGAAGAAAGAACGTTGTATTATTTATTACAGAAGATGTTACATATGCGATAGTCATGTTATGTAAGACTCTAATGATTTGGGCAACATTGTTCTCGTCTAGCATATTGTTTTCATTCTCATTAGATATGTTATTCTTGAAAATGCCAAAAGATATTACATTAAATTGAAGCTATTTGATTATCTTTTTTTCACAGCGGCACCACGTGAGCGTTGTAGAGAAAATATTAATTAATTCACTGGAAATTAAGGGCTAAGATTACTATTAAACCATTGATTATTAATTCAAGACCTTTATTGAGTATAATCTGAATTCACAGGGGATTACCCTCCGAATGGACGAGACTGATCGATGTTTGGTCGCTCGCATAATGCACGGTGGACTGATTCATAGACAAGGTAAATAGTGCAACTTATAAATATTTAAATTGTTCTTGTGTCTTATTTACATTTATATACATCTTTAACTTTCATTTCTGCTTCTTTTGTTTTGAATTTCGCGCAAAGCTACTGGAGGGCTATCTGCGCTAACCGTTCCTAATTTAGCAGTGTTTGACTACAGAGAAGGCATTTAGTCCACACCAACTACCGCCATCTTTTGGGTTACTCTTTTGCCAACGAATATTGGAATTGGCCGTCACATTGTAACGCCCCCCCCCCCCCAGTGGCACAGCGGCATGTCTGCGGACTTACAACGCTAGAATCCGGGTTTCGATACCCGTGGTGGGCAGAGCACAGATAGGCCATTGTGTAGCTTTGTGCTTCATTACAAACAAACATATTATAACGTCCCCACAGCTGAAAGGGCGAGCATGTTTGGTGACGGGGATTTTTACAAAGATTCGACGCCCTTTAATTGTTTTATTTTACCGCTCATAAACAGTTGTAAAATAGATTTTTTTTTCAAATTAAAAAATCATGTACTTTCCAAATTGCAATTTGTATCCTATTTTACATATTTGTCCGTCGAAGTTTTATGAAATATCAATTGGTAGAAAACGTAAATAATCTTGACAAGAATCAATAGTAAAAGCTATGTAGGTCTTTAAACCCCAAATTACATACTTCTCCCTACCGGTGGGAGACATATTAAGTAATTTTGTGTTTTGTGCTAGTCAGAGAATTCGCAGTCAAGAACTGTAAAGGAAATTGGATGAAATCGCCCATTATCCATTAACTAATATTTAAAATCACAATGTACGACAACTGTTGATTAAGTTCACCTCATTTGTACAAGTCAGTACGTGGCTCAAGGACTATTTTTAGCTAGAGATATGAGACCATCATCCAGGACGTTCTTTGTAGGGACTTCAAAATTTTCTCACGTCTCAAGCCTATAGCAGACCGATTAGGTCAAGCCGAGGGTCGGGTGTGACACAGTAGTTAGCCTGCCCGGACTGTTAATTTTAAAAGTATATTTTTCGCGTCCTGTAGCCTGCAGAAATGCGGTCCGCACTTTTTTTTTGGGGGGGGGGGGATGATTATATGAATGACAAAAAAATCCCACTATTCGATTAGAGTAGCCCAAAAGTTCGAGGTTAGATACCTTCCTCTGGTCTATCACTTCCAAATTAGAGGTGGTTATGCGCAGAGAGCCCTTGTATAGCTTTATATAAAAAATGTAAAACGAACAAGTTAAACAAGGTAAAGCTGGTGGTGGCAATAGAAGCTTTTCTGATAAATTGTTTGTTTTAGAGCAAAGCCACGTGTCTACCGTGGTGAATCGAACCCCGGACTTTAGCATTATAAGTCCTTAAACTTACCGCCGTCCCGTTGAGAGTGAAAAAAAACAACAACATGTTTTTGGTCAGAATCCGTTCGTCCGACTCTGATGATGTTCTTTCGTTTCCAAAACGCAACGTTGAATAACTGAATTATGGTTAATGATTTTCAGAAGGTAAACGGTAAAAATCAATTGATTAATCGAACACTTGACCTAGATTATATTTCACGTTACAGTCGTGGTATTATGTATTACGTGTTTATAAAGAATTATCAAATATTTTTAAATGATTAGGCAATTAGGTCGCAAGACGTTAACGTCATAATAACGAACCAAAACATCAATATAATAATGTAACAATAAGATACAAACGTTCAGTGCTTTCTCTTTATGGTTAATCAACTTTAACTTATCGCTTTATCGTTTTCATTAATTCCAATTTATTATGAGTGCGTTTCGTTTTTGTTGTTGTTGTTTTATTCGAAAAATTAACGTCAAGTTATCCTTTTATCTGGCTAATTTCAATTAGATTTGCGTTCTTTTTATAATTAAATAAAATCATCCCCTTCTCTGGATAATAAACTAAATTAGAGTTAACGTTTTTGTTTTGGTTTTTGGTTAATTAACTATAAAATATCGCCTCTTCTGGTTAACTAATGTCAGGTTATCAAATTTTTCTGGTTGCTTTTCAGTTAATTCCCAACCACCCACCCCAGTGACTCAGCAGAAAGTCTGAAGGCTTATAACGCTAAATACTGGGTTTCGATGATCATGGTGGGCACAGCACAGATAGTCCATTGCGCTTAACACAAAACAAAAAAAAATATTTTGGGATATACATATTCAGATATCTTAATACAGTTCGCTGAATTCCAGGTAAATGATTTTATCCTGGGTAAGATGTAATAACTTGTATTTTTTATTATTAACAAGATAAATGATTTTATCCTGGGTAAGATGTAATAACTTGTATTTTTTATTATTAACAAGATAAATGATTTTATCCTGGGTAAGATGTAATAACTTGTATT